CTCTCTCTCTCTCTCTCTCTCTCCCCCCCTCTCTCTGTCTTTGTCTCTCTCTCCCCCCACTTTCTGTCTCTTCTTACCCCTTCCTCTGTGTGTGTGTGTAGTGATATTTCATTTATATTTTAATAAATAAAGGTTGCCTGAAGTTCAGAGAGTAAAACAGATGCACTGATCAGCCTTACAGACCAGGCAGTGGTAACACACACCTTTAATTGCAGTAGCCACACTAGTTTGCCATAGAAACTGGGCAGTAGTGGTGCATGCCTTTAATCCCAGCCCTAGAGAGGAATATATGTTGGGAGGAGACAGTTCTCCCTTATAGTCTTATTCTGAGACTCCCAGAGGCAGGATCGCCATTTCGGACTGAGGTCAAGGTAAGAACCAGTGGTTGGCTGTTTTGCATTTCTGACCTTCAGGTTGAACCCCAATTTCTGTCTCTGAGTTTTTATTAATCTTGCTACACATGTGTGTGTGTGTGTGTGTGTGTGTGTGTGTGTGTACTAGCACGTATTCTACTAATGGGTCTCCAGGTAATAATTACGAAATATCGATGAGATATAATAACACAACTATTCAGAGGCACCAGAGAGGCCCAGAAAGCCACAGAAACAAAGGGGCGAACAACACCGAGAGAAGGGAACGTCATGGGTGGGATTTGTAGTTATAGATGTCTTTCCTGGGTGCACCCTGCATCATCACAACATAAATCAGTGTGGACTCAAGCAGAACACAAAAGTTTCATTGGTTTTAGGAGTCAGGGGCCAGAGCTTGGCATAGGAGAGTATTTAAGTGGGCATGGGGTAGAGGAGTCTTCGAGGGTGAAAAGCCATGGTTACTCCCCATCTGTTTATATTGTTCGAGGCACACGTAGCTCAGTGGTAGAGACAGAGCTTGCCCACCAGTACCCAGGCTCTAGGTTCAGTCCCTCACTCGCAGTTAAAAACAATAGCATCGGTCAGATCCTTGACTGAGAAAAAGAATCAAACTGAATCAGAAAATCGTCACCTGTCAATGAACTCATCTATCGGAGAGCAAGACTCCGATGGGCCCGTAAAGATGGAGGTCAAATTTGCCTAATTTAACAAGGATCTCCAAACTGTTAATCACTAATTTGAATAACAATATAAAGCAATACCGTTTACACAGAGAAGAACAACAACCACAAGAAACCTCCAGGTGATGCATCTCAAACTCCTGGTAGGCAGTGATGGCTGTGTCCCTGCCATGTGCCCCGGGGGACACATCACCTCCCTCCGTGGTGATCTTGCTAAACGTGTGACCCCAGCAACTCTGACTCAGACATTAGGCAAAGCTAAATCAAGGGTGTCCAACAAAATGACTTCTTGGTCTCCGTTAGAAGAGTCCGAGCCGGGAAGACGAGAGGAAGCTAAAAATGTGCTAGAGACTGGTACACGTGAAGGAGACAGACGCCTCACTGCGCCATGGCATTCAGGGTTGGATCTTAGAGAAGGAGACAAGGACGTCAGAGGAAAATCTGAGGGCGTCCAGAATAATTTATATCTGATTCATGAATAGCATTTTACCAATGTTAATAACTTGATTTTAATGAAGCTGGAAATGCTTGGCTCCTTTTAAAGCCTTTCTGTAAGAAACATGACTTAAAAGCCATGCTGTGTGACTGGGAATCTGATAGTCAAGCATCCATCTGTTTGGGAAACAACTCCACGGGTAAAGTGTTGCCTGCCTTGCCAACACGAGGAGCCTTTTAGTTCAGCCCCCAGAACCGTGTGCATCTAGTGCTGCCTGGTTGTTGTTTGTTTTGTTGTTTTTATAAATGTGAGTTGTGAGGCTTGAACTTGGTTCCTCATTCTTGCATGGCAAGCACTCTGCTGACTGACCCATTTTCCCAGTCCCAAGAAATTAGCGTTATGAGTTCCATTCATCTCTAAAGCGTGACATGGTTACCAGCTGTGTGTGTATGACCTGAAATCTTGTGGTTTTCCTTGGGTACACCCTAAGAGTCAGGGTGTCTCATGGCCTACACTCATTTCTCCAGAAGTTTGCCTATGCCATAAGGCACCCCAACTCAAGCATATACCATCAAGATTTGGGGGTAGGGATGGGGGCTCAGGGTTGAAGAAGAGGTTTTCAGGAACTCTTGGGCCTAAAAGTCATCAAGTTTCTGTACATAAGTGTCTGTGCTGAAGTGTCTAGCAGGTCAGGTGGAGGGAGGGGAGGGCTTCACATCCCGGTGCAGGTGTTTTAGGCTGAGGAGCTGGAGATTTTACCTCTCCACCCTCTTGCTCTCCTTCCTTCATTGCCAACTGAGCACAATTTGATTAGATTAGTTTGAAAATTCGGCTTCTGTCTAATGGTTTACCAGCTGTTAAGGTGAACTAATCGGTGTGACAGCGCTCTAGATTTAAAAAAGAACATATTTAACATATTTACATATTAACTCCTCCCACCTCTGGGCATTAGCGGAAGCTAATCTCTCACGAAGGACAACTCTAAGATAACGAAGGCTTACTTACTCTAACAAAAGCCTCTGAGGCCATGACAGCTAGCTTCGTTTCTTCCGGTTTAAAATCTTGAGACGTGGATGGTTACACTGTTCTTTTCCCCAGAGAAAGGGAGCCGCTTCCCTAGAAGGGGAGGGTGTGCTCAGCTGTCCAGGCCCTCATAAATCTCTGCCAGCCTTTTTCATCAGTAGCATGAGAAGCACCAATTAAGACGTGTGGGTTGTTCAGCCCCATCGTATTGCGGTTTTGCGGAAAACCACATGCTCTCCCTGTTTGTTTTTAATCTTCACGAGGAACAAGGATTGGTTGAGGACTGGGAAATCGTGATTCCACTCATCAAATAGAAGAGAGAAGAAACCCTATTTAAAGAACGCCCTGAGGACTTTTAAGAAGGTGAGACATAGTTCTGATTTCCAGCTGGAACACAGATATAAATACCATGCCCCCCAGTCCCCCACCCCCGATTATCATCCAGTGGGTTGTATCCCCTAAGAAGGGCTCTTTATGGTGACAGAGGTCCTTGGGGCTGAGAACATAGTGTGTCATTCTGGTGCCAGTTGGTCAGGGAAGGTAGCCTTGGGTACCATTTGGATCCCCACCCCAACACACATCTAAATGGTCTTTGAATGCAGCCACAATCAAACCTGCCTACCAGAGAAGTCAGCCACCGCCTCTGGGGACCTGCAATCACACCTTATTGTCATTCTGGTGTGCAAGTGTTAGGAAGCGCATGCAATTAAAATCAGCGTGATTGTAATCAACAGTTATTAATTTCCCATTTTCCTCAGCTGCCGGCGCACTTTTGCAAATCCATAATTCAGGGTGGTGAGGTGACTCAGAGGTTGAAGGTGCCCAGCAACAAGCCTGAGGTCAATCTCCAAGAAGAAAAGAACTGACTCGTAGGTGTCCTCTGACCTCCAACATTTGCATGTCCCCCTTAGATAAATGTAAATAAAATCAATCCACAATTCTTCCAGCAAAATGGTCAAGGCCTCAACTATTCATTGCTTCTTGAAGTTTCTTCTTTCTGTCTCCCAGCTCTCTTTCTCTCCAACGCCATCAAGTTCGGCTGGATTCTAGAGTGTTTAGCGATGAATACTACTTCCTGCCTCCACCAGCGATCTTGGAACTCTGAAGGAAATTCCTGGAAAGAGGCAGAGATCACAAAGGCCAACTGAGGGACCAGAACTTCGATGACGTGCAGTGGTTGGAATGCTGTTAAATTCAGTCCCCTTAGATGGTCATTTATTGTCCTACCCTGTATGTGGTAACTACTTTGATATGTACAAATAGAACCCTAGCTTCCAACCCAAATGCTAAGAATACAGCCAGATAGCACTGGAGTCTCTGGCAGAGGGTTCCCATTGCTCAGAAAGCACTGGAGTCTCTGGCAGAGGGTTCCCATTGCTCGGATGGCACTGGAGTCTCTAGCAGAGGGTTCCCATTGCTCAGATGGCACTGACTGGAGTCTCCGGCAGAGGGTTCCCATTGCCTGCTGTACCTTCCAGTGTATTTGAAACGTTGGTTGGTTTATGGTATTCTTTATTCTGTTACCTTATTTTTAAATCTTGGGAAGTGCATATATCCTGAAATAATAGGTCTTGGCCCACCTCAAGCTGGACCACAGAGGATTTCTGGCAGTTAAACGAGAGCCAGCATTCCTCAGGAACTTGTGCAATAGGTTCCAAGAGGAGTCATCCCCTGCCTCTCTGGCAGAAGGAACATACAGCTCTCCATTGACAAATGCCTGTGGTTTCATATCAAACCCATGCTGGTTTTGGTTCCTAGAGTCCCTGTTCACAAGTAGCTGTCACACACTTCAAACCCCCAACTCTAGCATCTTGGTCCTTCTCACCTCCTCCTCTACCTCAAATTCCCAGACCTGTCCTGTCTCAGAGGCTTCCCTTCCCCCAGACACCCGTTCATTCTCTAATGACAAGGTTCTGCCTCCCCCATCTCACCATCTCTACTATTCTCTCCTGCTCTTCCCCCTTCTCTTGCAGACAGCCCTGGTCATGGCCAGCATCCTTTTCTCTCTACTCTGGAACTCTTCCAAATGCCTCTGGGCATTTTCTCCTTCTTAACTATCATAAAAACCACCCTCTTTCATGGTCAAATGGGCCATTTTGGTGGTTTCTTTTCTGTGCCCCTCACATACTATTAAAACTTGATGAAACTGATACCACATTGGAACATGGAATCCAAGTTCTTGGGCCATGGCCACTCCTAGTTGGCTCCATAATAAACTCTTTTAGCCACTTTGAGGTGAGAGCTGTGTTTCTTACAACAAGATATATTTGCTGAAAATGAAGGACTAACTTACTGGGATATCCCCTACTATAGCATTTTTAGTATTGACCACAGGATCCCTAAGTCTGAGGCAAACAATCGTCCATTGAATTCCAAAGATACCACTGTTGAAATAAGTGTGGTGGGGCTTCATCCCCAGCACCCCAGCCGCCTGCTAGCTTATGCCCGAAATAACAACACACAAACTGTATTCATTTAAGCACTGCTTGGCCCATTTCTATCTAGCCTCTTCTCGGCTAACTCTCGCACCTGGACTAGCCCATTTCTAGTAAGTGTTTGTAGCACCCCAAGGTACACTTACCGGGAAGATTCTAGCCTACATCCATCCTGGGTCGGAGGCATAAGCTAGCCAAGCGGCTGGGGTGCTGGGGACGCAGCCCCGCTGCTCCTATTTCAACAGATGGTGCCCAGACGTGTGGACAACTGAATCCACTGAAAGCCTGAGAAAGCTTGGGAAAGAGTAAAGCAAGCATGTTTTCTTGGTAGCAACAATTTTTCGGGTCTACTCTGCTTACTAGAGGTAAGCAAGTGCTCTCATCTAAGAGAGGCTTCCTGACTCAGCTTTAGCTGCAAAACCCTGCAGCTCATTAAGAGGTCCTGCCAAGAAACACTTAAACAGTGTTGGTGAAAAGCTGAAAGCATGCATTCCGGTTTTCAGCCGTAGCAGGAAAAGAGTTGTGCTGTTTTATTTTTTTTATTTATTTATTATGTATACATTATTCTGTCTGCTTGTTTGCCTGCAGGCCAGAAGAGGGCACCAGACCTCATTACAGATGGTTGTGAGCCACCATGTGGTTGCTGGGACCTTTGGAAGAGCAGGCAATGCTCTTAACCACTGAGCCATCTCTCCAGCCCCAGTTGTGCTGTTTTAAAATGCCGGCTTTCTGGGCCATCCTGCCAGGGCAAACTCTGACTGAGGCAGGAGGGCCAACTACCGAGAGAGGACTTGACTGTTGTCTGTTGTAGCTCGCTGGCTGGCAGGGACCTTGAAATGCAATAGAATTGTGGCTATAAACATGGCTACAGCCTGTATCTCCGCCACGAGGCTGGAAAGCTAAGGAATGGACTGGATCTAGCTGGGAAAGCCACGGCTTTAATCCTACCCATATTGCTCAGTAAATTAAAGACTCATGTGGCCAGAAAAAGAGATATACAGTAAAGAGTGATTCAAAGATAAAGAAAATGTTTAAATGATTTACAGTGTGTTAAAAATATATGCAAGCTAAAAGTTAAAAGTTCTTAAAAGTTAAAAAAAAAAGAAACAAAGAGAGTAGTTGGGTGTGGTAGTACACACCTTTAATCCCAACACTTGGGAGGCAGAGGGAGATTGACCTCTGTGACTTCAAGGTGTGGTAGCACACACCTTTAATCCCAGTGCCTAGAAGGCAGAGACAAACAGATCTCTGTGAGTTCAAGGTGTAGTAGCACACACTTTTAATCCCAATGCCTGGGAGGCAGAGACAAGCGGATCTCTGAGAGTTCAAGGACAGCCTGGTCTACAGAGTTATTCCAGGACAAAGATACAGAGAATATAAAAT